TATCTATCTATCTATCTATCTATCTATCTATCTATCTATCTATCTATAGATCTATTTATCTATTATAGATCTGTTGATCTATCATCTATTATCCATCCATTTATCTATCTGTCTATCTATCTATCTATCTATCTATCTATCTATCTATCTATCTATCTATCTATAGATCTATTTATCTATTATAGATCTGTTGATCTATCATCTATTATCCATCCATTTATCTATCTATCTATCTATCTATCTATCTATCTATCTATCTATCTATCTATCGTCTATTTATCTGTCATCTATCATCTATCTATCTTCCATTTACCTATCTAGCTGTCATCTTTCTATCAATACTCTATCTTATCTATTTTCTATATATCTATTATTTATCTATTATCTATATTTATCATCTGTTATTTCTATTATCTTCTCCCCTCCACACTCTGCTTTATCTAGCTAGTCTCTCTGCTCCATGTGCAAGTCCAGAGTGGCAGTGAGGCTTTTGCATAGGTCCAGGGAAGGTGGGAGCTGCTGCTGTCTCTAGTTGTGGCTTGCATTAACCTTAGTTCCTTTTGACTACCTTCTCTGTACATAAGAACTTTTGTCTCAACTCAACTTCCTTTTAAAAAGGAATGACAACCTGGCCTCTTCCTAGGATTAATAAATGAGCAGTCTTGCCCTTATAGGCAACTTCCTTTAAACTACATAAGAACTCACCTGATATGGGATTCTCCTCTGTATGCTGTGAATACGTTTTGTTACCATTAAAAGCAGCTTTGGGCCTATGGCAGTGCAGAATAGATTAAGGTAGGAATTCCAAGCAGATACAGAGGAGAAAAGAAGGTGGAGTCAGGGAGATGCCATGTAGCTGTCAAAGTAGACGAATAACCCAGAACCTTACTGGTAAACCACCAGCCTCATGGTAAAATACACAGAATAATAGTAATGGGTTAATTTAAGATGTAAGAGTTAGTTAATAAAAAGCCTAAGCTAATAGGTAAAGCAATGTTGTAATTGAGACAGTTTTGTGTGATTATTTTGGATTTGGGTGGCTGGGAAACGAACAAGTGGTCTCTGCCTGTAGTCTCCCTGAGTCTGAACTGGAACCCTAGTGTCTGCATTCAGAAACAACAAAGAAATGATTCTTTTGATGAGTCTAATGTCTAGTCTTCATTGGATTGGAAGATGTAAAAAGATGTCCTCTCTCCCTTCTCTGGCAGGAGGATTTTGCTTACTTATTTTTTACTTCTGATCCCCTCTCAGGAAGTTCCCAGCACAAAGGCACAATCACCTTAAGTTGTCACTTAGCACTGGTTTGTCACTGTGAGCCACCCAACTTGCCCTGCAGGATCACACTGTATGATTTATGGAACTGTGATCTCTTATGGCGGTGGTCACATAGCGTCATTTGGTTATGAATATGACAGCTGCTGGAGCCTGGAAAACAATAATCAAGTTCATTAGCAGCACAAGTATCTAAAGCAGCACCCAGTCAGCTCTGAACACGGTGACCATCAGCTAGCCTTACAGAAACAGTCAAGACTGTGTCAGTGACTTTCACCTTCCTGCTCATGGGTAGAGTTCAGATCATCAGAGCTCTGCAGGTCCCAGGATTTTGCTTTACAAACAGGGCCCTGTCTTGGGGTGGGTGAACGAGTACCTGTGGGTACACTGTGATGGGCCACCCTACGCTTCTGCCTATGCTTCTGCTTTCAGCTAGATGGTCACCTGATGTCTCTGGTTTTTGTTTTGTTTTGTTTTGTTTTTGGATACAGATGGGCAGAAGAAAGTCCAAGAAGAGTTTGATATCGACATGGATGCACCAGAGACAGAGCGTGCGGCTGTGGCCATTCAGTCCCAGTTCAGAAAATTCCAGAAGAAAAAGGCCGGATCACAGTCTTAGTGGGGAAGCTGCTTCCTAGGCAATCCGAAGACACTGAGTTCAACCACCACCCATCGAGAGATGAAAAGAACAATACCCTAGAGAGACGTCATCCACACAGCATACACCCCGCGGCAAACCTGAAATGCATGTACAGAAACCCTTAGTATTTATGCCCCTATAGGAAGGTGTGCACATTGAAATTGTGAGCAGCTTAATCGGGTTCTCTCCATTACAGTTCCTCTGCAACTATTTTCCTTGATGTTGTAATAAAAGGAGGTAAGATAAGTGAATCAAGTGTCTGCCTTTATTTTCCCAATTAAACAAAGCCAGGAAAGTGTCCCTAAGGTTAAAGCAACCGCCAGCCTGGCATCTCTCGTACTCTTCAAGCTTAGAGATGTAACAAAGTGACTTGTGACGGTGGAGCTATTCATCCTCAACCTAGCAGTGCCTGTCTTATTAATAGGGTGCTAACTGCCAACAGGTTGTTGCTGGATTTTCTTAGCATGGACGTATAGTCTGTACCCTCGATTGTCCCAGATTCAGAGTTTATAACCCATCCAGGAGAACACAAGGTATGGGAGGGCCACACATCTGTGGCTGGAATGTCACCCACATGTGCTCAGCGAGGGCATTTCAGATCTACAAAGAGTTGCCTCGTGCCACCAGGGCCATATTTGCACCCGTGTAGCCCCAAGCAGCAAGCACATGCTCCAGGCTCCTCAGTGCTCATGGTGTTTTGTTACTGGTTAACCTCATTCATCAAAATCTGTAGTTTGGAGAGGATGCCCAACTTTTCTCCAGGTCAAAACTCTCAGGCACATGGTTTTATATGCTTTGGAGAGCTCCTACTGATAGCAAAAAGGTCCGTTTCATGGAAAGCATGGCTCCATGGCGTCAGGAGTCAAATACAGATTGGTAAGGTGTGACTGTGAGCTGGCCTTGCACAGCAAGCACCAGGAGCATCAAACACCTATGTTGCTTATGGTTGCTCATTTGAGCATTGCTATGAGAGAGCCTGAAACAGAAGGGACATTTCACCCGACACCTGAGAATGCTCTGTGCTCTAGGAAGGCACCATGGGTTCTATGGACTTGGGCGTGTGACTCCGGGTGGGTCATAAGCACTTGTGAGAGGAGGGAACAATGTGTCTGAGTGTGCACACTTGCATGCTGGCCTGTGGATGAGTTTAGTGGGATGATGTCAGCTAGTGAACACTACACAGGACCATTTCTTCAATGCCAACCAATGGCGGCTAAGTAAGATTCCGGATGGGCCAGTCTCCATTGAGAAGAAGACAGTAGGTTGAGAATATACAAAATAAAGAGTAGCTGAGATGGAGGTATGAATGTCACAGGAATTAGATGGCTTAAGATGTCATCCCCAGGGCTCTCGAAGGCTGTTACTATAAAGGAAGTTGGAACCCCAAAACATGCGCATGTAAATGCTATAGTTGTCTGTACCACCACTTCCCGAATCCTCCATGGGGAACTTAACCTGCTATAGGAAGGTAGTTCCTTGATATCAATATGCTGATAAAAATCTTGCTTTGTGGTGGTTTTAAGGTTCCCATTGCTGTGAAGAGACACCATGACCATGGCAACTCTTACAAATGAAAATATTTAATTCAAGCTGACTTATAGATTCTGAGGTTTAGTCCATTATTATCATGGCAAGGAAACATGGCAGTATGCCGACAGACATGGTGTTGGAGAAGGAGCTGAGAGTTCTGTATCTGAGTTGTCAAGCAAGCAGGAAAAGAGAGATCTTTGAAACCTCAAAGCCAATCCCCAGTGATACACTTCTTCCAATGAGGCTACACATTTCCTGATAGTGATACTCGCTATGAGCCTGTGGGGGCCATTTTTATTCAAAACACCACAGTGGTGTGGCTGGAAAAATTTTAATAATCTAAAATGAAGTAGGTAAAATACACATATTTCAACTGGCAAAAGCATGAGATCCTTATTGATACTTTGTCCTGGCTCAACTCAAACCATGGGTCTCTGCTATTTATGGTCACATCCACTTAAATCAATAGATCCTGACCCAAGGTAGGATCAACCAATCAGGTTCTTCCTCCTGAGAATTTGAGTTGATGATCATGAGACGTTAGGCACTTAATGGTGTGGATTTGAGGCTCAAAGAAGACTGTAATAACTTAAAGCTAAAATAAAGGCATTCAAGTTTTTAAAAAAATTATTATTGCTAATGAAATTATCATTATTTGTGAGAATCTGTAAAAGTCCATGTGGAAGGAGATACAGGAGCATACAGGGGCAGAGTGGAGACTCAGAATACACAAGCCCATGAGAGAGAGAGAGAGAGAGAGAGAGAGAGAGAGAGAGAGAGAAAGAGAGAGAGAGAGAAAGAACCCAGACTGAGTTAGTCATTTGATTGCTATGAACAGGAATCCACTCACAGTAGCTAAAAAAATAAAAAGAGAGAGAGAGAAACCCCCAAAATAGAACATTCAAGACATCCAAGGAAAAAAAGAAAGAATCCATAGGCAGGCAGAATTTTTTGAGGGTTATTGGTATCCTGGGGTGCAGTGAGAAAGAAGTGACGTCTCCGACATCATCTCTGCAACATCTTATGACTTACCGTAAAGTTTTACAGTTTTCTTTAAACTTGTTTTGAGCTTTTCTTTTTGTTCTGTTTATAGACATAGCCTAGTATTTGTTGTCCTTCTACTTGGGACCTTTATGCAAAGTATTCTGCAGCTGCCTTTGCTGCTGTCTATGAAAATGATTGATTTCTGAATCTTTTGTTCTGCGAGTGTTCATCCGAGTGAGCCGTGTGATGTCGTGGCTTTTAGGAACTTCCTGTGGCTTCGCAGGGAGACAGTCCTGTCTGTTGCAAGCAATATCATTGTCTCTTCTTTCCCATGGCTTTTAAATTCCTTTGCTTTGCCTCTCTTCTCTTCACTGTAATCCATCCCCATGCCTTGCAGAAGGCTTGAGGTCATTTCAGGGTCATGGTGATGGCGTCAGGTTGTCTCCCAAGAAAGCCCTAAACAGGGGTCATACCTTTAGGGCTGAGTGATTTTGATTTCAAATAATCATCTTTTTAAAGTCTTATAAACCTCTTAAGTATTATTGAATGTATATATTTTACTGACGAGTAACCTAGATAAATTAGTATAATCATCACAAGAGACTAGACAGGGAGGGAAGCTTAGTGTTAGATTTTCCGAGGGTTTCTATTTGAGGGGAGGTTTCATTTTAGTGTTGGGTCTAGGAAATTACAACCTGTATCCCTGGGTGCTATGTCCAGGGTTCTATGCCTAGACTCTGTTCTGTGATACTCAGTGTCTCAGTCAGCTAGAGATGCTGTAACAAAATGTCATGGATTTTTCTGACTTAAACTCTTGGCATTTGGCCTTTGCATTTTCTGGAGGCTGAAGTCCCAGGTCACAGGCTTGGTTCCCAGCTATCAGCTAGCTGCTGTATTGCTATTTATTTCACTGAAGAGAAAGAAGGAAAGACAAAGTGGAGAGAGAGACAGAGACAGGGAGAAACACACACACACACACACACACACACACACGAAACAGACACACACAGAGAGAGACAGACAGATAGAGAGAAAGTGTCCATTCTTCTTTATTTTTGTAACCTAAACTTGAACTCCCCATCTTTTTGTCTGAACTTCTCAAGGACAGAGGGGATGTGCCACTGTGTCTGACCTCTTTGCTATTCTTGTAGGATACTAATCTCATCACAGGGGCTCTAGCTTTATAACACTGTCTAAGCTTAGTCATGGGTCAAATTCCCTACTTTCCAATGTCCTAATATTTGGGGTCAGGGCTTCACTATATCAGTTTAGGACTGGGAACACTCAATTGGTCTGTGCCATCTGGCTCACTTTAGGGCTCCTTGTTACATAATGGGATCAGGCCAGAGAACGATTGTTCCTTGTTTACCGCTCGGTTGATTCTCCACAGGCTTTGGCCTTATGCTCACCGGCTGCCTCTGTCCACTTTCAGTTGTTGCTCGCTCTAGTTTCCTTACAGCTGTGACAAGCTCCTCTGCTTCCCATGGCATTGCCCTTTCGAGGTTTTTTGTTCTTTTGTTAAAAGGAGCATAATTGAATAAGGATCGGAGAAAGCAGCCTGCTCCGGTATGTGTAACCTTTCCAGGAGTCAGAGGTCTGCAGAGCTGGATAGTGATGGGTTGGGCAGGACACCACACACACACACACACACACACACACACACACACACTCGCACCACCAGAGGCAGGGCCCTGTGCTCTTCTTTGGGTAACACGGAGGACTGTTACAAGCAAAACTATTCACTCTTTTCTCTCTGAACTGTAAAGCCCTTTTGAATCTGAGGCTCTTGCAGCCTCAAAGCTGCCGTGCTCATTATTTCAACGCTGCGGGTCCTCTGCCCCTAGGAGCTTAAAGGACGAGGAGGCAGTCCTCCCTGAGTGCTTCCAAGGCTTTCATTTGGGACCTGCGTGCTGCCTTAGCTACACAATCACTTCCCCAGACTGCCTGCGATCTGAGGACCCACAGCAGTTACTGTAGATAAGCTCTTGTTGAAGGCCAGGCTCTACTTTTGCCTCAGCCTGATGAATTCCTGCCATGAAGCACCTAGACACCCGAGAACGCATTGATTCTGTCGACAAAGGAGGACCCTACATTCCCAACTGTGTTCTCTTGTGAGCCTTCACCACACCACAAGTGTCATCCTGGTGCCTTGCTCCCTGGTGTAGCCTGGGCCACTGTCTATAGGTGTGCTACCTGTCCTTGTGTTTGGAAACAACAGAGAACTGGTCTGAAGTGGAGCCTATGTCTGACTTAGGTTATTAACTGGTTCAGAGGCCTTTGTTGTTGGAAGGAGAGGGCCACTTGTTTGTTTTCTGCTGCCCAGCTAGCTTAGATCCAAAATAACCACACAAAAGATGTATTAATTAAAAAAAATCACTGCTTGGCTCATTAGCTCTAACTTCTTATTGGCTAACTCTTACATCTTAATTTAACCCATTTCTATTAATCTGTGTATCACCACGTGGCAGTGGCTTACCAGCAAAGTTTTGGCATGTCTGACTCTGGCAACGGCTCCATGGTATTTTTCTGACTTCGCCCTTCTTCCTCCCAGCATTCAGTCTAGCTTCCCCTGCTTACCTAAGTTCTGCCCTGCTACAGGTCTAAAGTAGTCTCTTTATTCATTAATGATAATCACAGCACACAGACGGGACTCCCACATCACTTTGTGAAGGTACTGTGTGAGAGGCATCACCATTCTAGACGTCATCCCTCTGATTTTACCATGATGTGCCCATTT